ACCATGAAGCTCAGAAAAAAATACAAAAAGAATATAATATCTCAGAAACGTTTAACCGATCATTAATAAATAAATCAGATATAGCTAAAGAGGCCATAAAAGATGTAGCTATTGGTAATAAATTTGAAGGCTATTATCACGTCTTCAATCCACAATGCTTCAAAAATTCTTTTGGTGAAACTGTTGTAGATTTTTTTGACCTACTTAATACAATGCTTACTGAAGATACAAGGATTATAGTAAGCCAATATTATAATCACAATCTTAGTAATAAAAAATATCAATCAAAAGAATTTAAAAAAGAATTAGTGGAGCATTTTGGTGCCTTTACAGGCAATAATAATGAACCTTATACAACAGCCAATACTGCATCAGATCATTATCCAGAGCATCGAAAATGTATTCAAGAACTTATCCGAGGTCTTCAACCACTATCTAATTTGGTTAATACTTATTTTCAGGAAACATATCCTGTTCTATATTCAAAAATGGAAAAACTCGATCTTGGCCCAAATGTTCCTAAACCTTTTGGTGCTTTTCCAACAATTGCTATTAACTTTAATGTTATTAGTCAATTCCATTGTGATTTAAAAGACCATAGAAATACACTTTGTGTGGTGTGTCCACTTGGGTCATTTGAGGGTGGGCAGTTGGTATTTCCAGAGTTAAAATTAATCATTTATGCAAAACAAGGTCAGGCCATTGCTTTTAGATCAAATATTTTGGTCCATGGCAATCTTCCTGTTATTTCTGGTGTTCGTCATAGTGTCGTTTTTTTTATTCATGCTACGTCAATCAAACAAAATAGAAAATTTGGAAATTTATTTCAAGATACTAATTCAGATGATTCAGATAGTGAAATTGATGTTGGTATGAATAATAAAAAACTTGGAGCATCAAAAAAATGTACTATACAGAATAAAAAATGTTCCAAAACCTCAAAGTTAGACTCACGATTACAAAAGATTAAAAATTCAAGACGAAGCTATCTCGGTAAGTATAATCGCTATATTATAAATTATTTATAATCGTTTTCAAACCTAATATTTATATATATTTCAACTTATTTAAGATCTTGAACCCACAAAAAGAGGTTTATTAGCGAAATACAAAATTTAATGCTGGTCACTAAATATTAATAGTGTATAGTTTAAGTATTTGTAATAAATTTTTCTATATATAGACATGCTATATGAACTTATTCTAATGCAAGAACAAAAAGTTACACTCTGGAATATTTAATGATTGCTCTGATATTTTGTTATGGAGTTTACTTAATTACTATATACTTTTTGATCTTTAATATTGGTCTTTACTTGCTTGGCTATTATATATGATGACTGAAGTATCGTACCAGACACTTCTGCCCAAATATCACATACAATGTGATATGTAAACACACAGTTTATAGTTTGGACGTTTTTTTATTACTAAAGACTGCTCTATTTTTCATTCTCTTCTAACTACTAAAGACCATCGTTTTTTTATATTACATGATAATTGATCATGTAATACTTAAGTTCCGATTCTGATCTGTGCTACTAAACATGTGTTAATCAAATATACTACGTACGTATGTCATATTTCTTTTGTTGAATAATAATTCTACATAAAATCTCATTAAGCCACTACTATATCTGAACATAATGATAAGTAAATTAAAAAGTTTTCTGAAAACAAGATTTAGCAATATTTTTGCTTCTCTTATTAAAATTTAGAATATTTAATTTTAGGCCGCTTGAAGTTAAACTTTCATTTAACTTTATTTCTCCTCTATCTTCTAAGCTCTTCTATAAAATAATAGTGATAGAGGTGACAAATTAGTTAGTATAATGGTCGGTATGGTAATCGGAATTTTTTGATTATATTTAGGAATTTTTTTGGTATACTATATATTTATTTTTTTATATTTGTTTAATTTTCTCCCTCCCCCTAGTAAATACAAAAAAAGAAATAATGTTAAACGAAACTTTAACTACAAGCGGCTTTAATTAAACATTATTCTTACTTGTTTTTTTATCTATTATTTATTTCTTGGTAAGTACAGTAAACTCCATAGGTACACCCTTTATAAGTGCATACCTTTTCTAAATGCATACCAAATTCTGTTCAAAAATTCATGTCCTTAATAATTGCAACTTTTTATTATTCTCTAAATGCATATTGTTAAAGTTTGGTTTCAAAAACATGCACTTATAGAGGTTTTACTATATTTCTTTCATCTCATAGAAAATTATAAACACTTTAATATAATCATTTATTCTATTTGATTAAGAATACCTTGTCTTTTATTTTACCAAAAATTTATTAATTTATTTGTATTAACAAGTGAAAAGAAAAATTTTTTGAAAATCTTTAACATACTGCTATACTAATCGAAAATCAAAGTAACACATATTATACAAAAAATTTATTAGAACATGTAGATATTTACTAAATATTCATTCGTTTTGTCAAATCGTGGAACTATATGGACTGTTTTGTAAATGCTTTCTATTGGTATGCAAGTATAATGCTCTAATAATTTTAATTTGGGGCATCCCCATAATCTATCTTTTTCTTCATACCAATGTACAAGAGCGAAATCGGACTGTTCTCTTTCTTCTGCTCCAAATTTGAGAATTAGCAAGACCTTGAAGAGTATAAATATATATTAGTATATTCGTAAGATATTTTGAATAAATATTATGAATAGTTTGTTTCTTACCACACCATACCAATCTATTTCATTTCCTTTTTCATCTTCGGCATTTACTAGCACATTAGAAAACATTGGCTTCCCATAAAAACTTTGAGTTGCACGAATGATATCAGTATTATCCAAGGTAACAGAAGAGAATGTTTCTATTTGGTTATCATCGTGGATTGACATTTTAGATTCTTCAAAGAATTCACTAAGACCTGCTGAGAGGTTTTGAAATCCCTCAATTTGTTGAGGGTCCATATTTTTTTTATTTTCTTGAAGGAAACTATCTAGTTCTTTCAATTTTAGTGTCCACAAATGTTTACCATATCCTTTTCGTTGATTTTTCTTGATAGCTTCTTTTTCAATTAGTTTTTGTCGGTTTACCTAATTAACAATCAATTATTAGTGATTATAATATAAAGAAAAAATTCATACTACTAATACTTACCGATTTTATTATTTGTTTCATAAAATCTTTTTTATTAGACATACGATATGGATTTTTAACATAGATTCTATGGAGTGTTTCGTAAGTCTCTGTAGTCATGCCATTTATTGCTCCATATTTTTGAATTGCAGGTACTATATGATAGCACCAGGTATGAAGTTTAGAAAGCTGCAAACCACTGGGAGAGTAAGATGAAAAGATGGCAACAAAGTCTCGAGCCCAGTCGATAATGAAATTCTACAAAAAGTTGAACTATTAAAAATCGATATATACCAAAGTAAATCATTTTGTTTATACCTGAAGCTGATTGCATGAATCGTATGTAAAAGACTCTTCCCGAGTGGCTAAATACATTTGAAGAAATTTGTAAAACACATCGCACAATCTTTTATTACTTATTCCTGGTGATTTATGTGTTGTATATAGGTTGTCAAGCGTGAAAATAATTATTTTCATTATATTCCTCAACTTATCTGCTGTTATACATGTTAGATCAGAGATATTTTTTATAATTTTAAGGCCATGAAATCTGGGAATAGATGATAATCGTTGTTCAAAGATTTGAACAACTTTGCCTCCACAACTTTCTTTTAAAAGTTTTTTTGTAAAATCTAACATGTATTTGAATAGACCAAGATCTAACACATGCATTCGATCTGGTACGACTGCTTCATAAATATTGAAGCCACTAATAATTTTAATTGTTTTAGTAATTTTAAGTTAAAATGCTAACAAATATTTATATTATTATACCTTATTTTCCAAAATAGATTTTGTTCGCGATGAATCGAATTATCATGTGCTTTGTCTTTATTTGCTATCAACTGTTTCATATTATCGGTTGTTCTGTAAGTAATATTAGTTAAACTTGTATTATTAAGATCATCTTTTGACACTAAACAGGTTCCACATGGTTTTTTAGTAAAAGATGATTGGTAGGTATTTGTAAATTTATTGGCTTCAGCCATATCAGAGATGATTATTGAGATTCGTGGGATAAACGTGATTATATCACCATGGACAACAAAGTTAAGCTCTGGTTCCTTGATTATCGGCTTAAGAATAATTGCTAAACATCGTTGAAAAATGTCTCTTTGTAACTTTCGAAAATCATCAGAGGCCTTTGTTTTAGAATCTTTGGCTTTTAATACAGGAAAATATCTGATTAATGCTTTAGATTCTGGTTTGTTTCTTTGAGAATTTGGAATATTACCGAGAGATAAAAATATAGGATGCCCAGAAGATTTTCCCATATGGTCTAAAATTGTTGCATCAGAATAAGAATAATTGAAAGTAATTGTCGACCAGGCAAAATGCGTGATGCTTCTTGCTTCCACCAGTCGCAGTTATATTGTTCTTTAAATATACGTAGCTTTTTATTTTGTATATCCCATTCTTCTTTATATTCTAATACTAAATTCTGATTAACATTATTATTTGCCAATAAAGACTTTATTGTCTTTATTAGTGAATGATAATAGAAGGTGTATTCAATATCCTCAAATGTTGTAACGGGAATCTCTTTAAAGATATTATATGGAATATCAGAACTATCTAAAAAATCTTTTCCAATTCTAGTCGAGGGAGGTAATGGTGAAGCGTCCAAATTTGAGTATTTATTAAAAAATTTTATTATCGCATCACCAGCTAAATTTGATAATTGGTATTTGGTGACAAGTGTCATAAACTCTTGATAGGCTTCATTAGGCCATTTTACTTCTGGTGGATGCCGTAAATCTTTATCAGCATCTATCAATGATGCTCCTTCATAATCTTCATTATCAATTTCAATTTCTAGTTCGTCTTTAGTTGAAGATTCTTCCTCGGTTATATGAGATTCAGTTTCACTTGTACTAGATTCATCTATCAAATTAGATTCATCTTTTGGTATATTGAGATCATATTCTATATTAGATTCATCTTCTATCATATCAACATTCATATCATCTATTACGTTAGGGTTTTCTTCATCTTCTTCACTTTCGCTCTATATATTTAAAATAATTGTTAATCCAACATATTTGCTAAGTTTCAAATAAATATTTACAACTTATTTACCTGAGAAGAACTTTTATCAGAACTTTGCGGTGGATAAGCGTATATGGTGGGATCATATTGTAACTGAATATCGGTTGATTGAACACCTGTTGATTGAAAATCTGTTGATTGAGATGTAGAAGATGTAGTCTCTAAAATATAAGGATGACATTGTGAAATATGCCGAGTTAAATCATTTGATCTTGAGAATTGATTGATTACATTAATTTCATCACAAAATGGACAAAACCAAGTCATGTTTATTTAATTAATAATAAAACGCAATTTAAGAATTTTATTCAAACAAGTAGTTTAATTCAGAATGAATTTTATTTATTGTTACGAGGTGAATTATAGGTTTAATTAGTTTATATATGAAAATATAGTTTTTATACGATATAAGGCATTCGCCAAAGGCATGATGTTGGTGATTTGACAAGAATTTAATTTATTAAAAGGAATTTATCAGGGTGATTTATTCAATATATTATGAAGGAGTTATTGGAATCTTGTAAGATGCCTTTTACAAAAGAGAAAATACAGAGTTTTTATAGCTTTCAATATCCTAATGAATTCAAGAAGCTTAGAGGACAAATTAAATATTACATCATTAAAGAATCAGAAAAATTATTCTACTGTAAGGGGCTTATAATAATAATTATAACATAGTTATAATAAAAGAAGGCTTTGCTTCTCTTCGTCTATTTCAATATCTTTTATTCCATCTTAATTTTCAGTTAGGGAGCTGACAGAAAAGAGGTAATATACTTCCACCCTCTTTCCCCTTCTTGACACCCCTTTTTTTCTCCCTATACCCCCTCTTTACCCCTCTTTACCTCTTTTATCCTTCAAGAAGGGGGTAAAAGAGATAAAGGGAGTATAGAGGGGTATAGAGGGGGTGTCAAAAGGGGGGAAAAGGGTGGGGTATATTACTTTTTTTCTGTTAGCTCCCTTGTTCTATTGTTGTTATTTCTTGAATTTTAGTCTTTTTTCTACACGTACTTGTTCTTCAGATTTCACGTTGGTTTGTTGATTGTATTCAGCCTATTGATTGTTTCTTTGATCACGGGTTTACTATGCCAAATTTCGTCGATTTACCTTTTAGCCTGTGATATTATTTATTTGTCTCTAAACGATTTGGAACTTTTTTAAAATAAATTAAATTTCAAAACTGGTTGTGGGCAGAAGTATTGCTTTTATAATTTGAAACGAAATATATTCAAAACAAGTTACAGAAATCATTAGTTAATTTGTTTTATAAAATAGATTTATGCATTGTATCTAAAAGGCTTAAAGTTTGGAATTAAATTTTAGATTTCAAGGTATTAAATTTTGATTAGATTTTGGATAATGTTTCGAGTAAAGATATTATTAGAATCCTGAAACCTTTAGTCTAACAAACAAGCTTCAGGTCGCAAGGTCATAAGTATAATAAGCAACTGAATCATTGCGGCACAGAATGCGCAGCATTAAAATGTATATTTTAATAGTTGAATGGGAGAGCGAATATATAATTATAGACAAAGTGCTAATTTGAAGCTTCAACCATGTACAGAAAAATGATATCTATAAAGCGAATTTTGTGGATAAGACAAACTTAAAAGAATCAGTTTTAAAATGATGATTAACTTAATGTGATGTAGAGGGTGATGATAGAGAACTTTGATGTTAAAACGTTAAAGGTATAATTTTTTTCTGATATATCTATTGTGCTAATGCTTGTGATGCTAAAGGAGGTGGGATTTCAACTTTTGTCATTTCACGTTAAATCTTTTATTGGGCAAACAAACTTTTGGTCAAAAGTCACGTGATCAAGTTCCGAGTCTTAATCAAAGTCACAAGTCAATTCAGTCTGTAGAATTGAGTCTCGATGGATTTATTAAATTTAAAATCAATTTCAAGGATAAATATTTTTATTACTAATTTATTACTGTATTATATGAAGGATATGGAACTTATAAAAACTTTATTAAAATTAAAAAGTCTTATATATATTTTAAAATTTGACAGCAAATTCATGAAATTCTCAGAGCATCTGCTACAATTTCTATAATTCTGTGGTGATTCCAGCATATCTGCTGCTATGACCACGCGTTTGCTATTATAACTATGTCTTTGTATATCCACGATGCATCTAAGCTACTAAGCTACTAACAACTTCTATTTTAGTATATCTGATTTCAACATGGGTATTGTTATCAAAATAGAATTAGAAAAATATATACAATACATAAAATAAAATATAATAAAAACTATACTAAAATAAGCTAAATAACATGATTTGCTTTTGGTGAAAAAGAGTCTTTGGGCAAATCACGTGCACAACCCGATCTATATACCTTTTCTTTTTTAGTTAATCAAATATATATTATGTAAACTTTTTTTTTGTTCACTTTGAATTTTTTTTTTAATCGAACATAAAGGAAGTGTCAGATATCATAGGGTAGGAGGGAGGTAGACAAAAATCTCAGGTCTAAATATTGGTCTAAATATATATATATAACCCAATTAGAATGACTAAATATCATGTAGTTTATGAAGAGCCCTTATACTTAGTAAAAGGGATACAAGTTGACAACGATTTGTATTATGAAATGAAAGAATCAAAAGTAAAGCAAAAGTATCGATCAAACGACTCACATGAACATGTGATCGATCAGAGTTGTGGTGGAATCGGGTAGCATATGTGAGATAAGTACATAATAATACTATAATTACTGAATATATGAATATGACGATTAGTTGGGGAAAATTAAAAGTTTAATAAATTAATAACAAAGAACAAACTATGTAATTGTTAGAATTAATATTGAATGTAAATAAAAAAAATAAGTCAGTTTTTTAACTAGAAATTAAAAAAAGTATTGTCTTAAAGTAAATACTTACATGTAAAACAGTGTGGTATGTGTTGTTTACGAAAGTGTGTTGTGCCAAGCAAGGCCAAGAGTATAAGTAAAATCATCTGAAGAAGATTGTAGTCGCTTCAGCGATTGCTTAACTCTTTGACACTAAATTTCTCAGGAGCGAAGGAGGGAGTACTGATCTCAGCTAATATCTGACACCATGTCAGATATTAAAATTTTATTATATTATTTCCAGAGTTCATTATAGAGATGTTCGTTATAAAGATAGTTGAATCTATATTTAGTTTAATAACTCTGTAAT